AAAATCCAATACTTGTTTATGAACCCATATTTCAATATATTTTTCATAAACAGGCAACATTAGTAGATCTTGAATCTTGCGGTTGTTTTGGTGAGTTTGTTTTAGGGATTGGTATTATTGTAGACTTTTTTCATGATTTAGGTACAATATCAGTGTTCAATGACAAATTAATTACCTCTAATAACTTCACTGATTCACTTGGATTTTAAACATTTTTATACTCATACATCATATTTTTAACTATATTATCAAAAACATTTCTGTTCATTAGTTTGAAATCATTGAGAGCATTTATGTTTACATTTATATGAATATTTTGTTCAGCATTATAATTTAGTTCAGATTTAATAGACTTATTGATATCTTGAATACTTTTGATTAAAAATTTATTATATTTATTACTTGCAGTGTCTTTTCCATTTTTTTCAAATATAATATCTTTAATTACATTCTTTTTATCTTTTTGAGATAAGTCAGTAAGATTTTTTTGGGTTTTCCACATTAGCTTAGCATCATGTTTAACCTCGTCAATTTTTTCTTTAAAAAACCGTGACTTTAGGCATCTTAATAAATAACTCAGTATAGTAACTCAATAACAGTTTCTACAATGTTTCTTTTTTTTGATTGATCAATTTATTCTTATGATCATTTTTTTTTTCATATACTTTATTATATATTATTTTTTTCATATATTTATTATATAGTTTATTTCATTCTTTTGTTAACTGATTACAATGTATAATCCTTCCACCATTTTGGATTTCTGTTACTGCTGCTCTTCACTTCTTTTGACACAAGTTTGAATTTTTTGTACTTAAGCCATTTTATTTACATCTTTTGCATTAGATTGAAGCACTTTACTATTTTCATTAGTATCCATAATCAATTCACTTAGTTGTTCATAGTCTATCTCATTATATCATTTAATAATTTTGGTTCGATTTGTATTCTAGTAGGGCTATTATTGAAAACCTTTAAGTTGTAATTTTGATTTATGTTTGTGACTTTTCACTTGGCTTCTTCAAGATATTCAAATTAAAGTCACCAATGCAGACAATATTCTTATACTTGGCACTAATATTATTTACCCAATTGTCCCAAAAATCCAAAAATGATACTGCAGAAAACTGAGGTGATTTATATAATACAGAAATATTAAATGTTTGTTTATAAATTTGTAATGTTGCTTTAAAAACCCAGATGTCACCTTTACTTTCATTATGATTCTTAATTTAACGTCTTGTCTAAAGTATAACAAACAACTAAAGTATAACAAACATCAACTAATAGAACAATTCCTGAAAATCATGAAAAAAGTCACAATGGTGCAAATTTAGCTGGTGCAAGGTATCACAAAGTCACAAGATGAAAAGTTACTGTAAATTTGTTGATAAAAATTAAAGTAAACTTCTCAGATTATATATCTCTATTATACAATGCATCTAATACAAATGGAAAATATACAAGAACTTGCAAAATCTTTTCTTCAGGAGGTTTGTCTACATTATTCTGGTATTGTTCAGCAAATTTACTATTACTCTTCTTAAAAAAGTGATGAAATGTTCCAAAAAAATTCAGCATATGTGATTAAACCATCTTTGAAAACTAGATGGAGTGCTAGATCAGGTTCAGTAAATGTTATAAAGCTGTGTTACAAAAATATTTTGAGATCACTAACACATATTATTGAAGATCTTTGAAAGTAATTAAAACAATTTACTTTTAAAAAGTGATTGCCAGAGCTGAGGAACAAAATGTTTTATCCGAAATGAATTTGCTTGAATTCACTATTCAAACGGATTTTTTGGAACACAAAAAAAAGAATGAACTTAGTTTCAAAAGCTTTCTAAAAAGATTTAAAAATAACATTAGACAAATGTTATTCACTTTTTACTTCACTTGTAGATTATATTCAGACTCTAAAAAAACTTAAAACTGAAGTTAAAATGCTAAAATTTGAAATAAAAGTTTATGAAGAATCTAATCCAACTTTTGGATTTTTGATTGATCTAAACATTGAAAATGGGAGATTCATCAAAAATGGGAGGGTCATCTCTTATGGCTTATGAAAAATGTAAAAGTAATCATTCAATAGTATGAAAAAAAAAATCATATGAAGTTTCCAAATCAGAAATTTTTGATCATCTTTTTATATTTTGTTCTAATTATAAGTTTATTAAAACTTAATTATAAGTTTATTAAATCTTAAATTGACCAAAAGTTTTTATTATCTATGAAGTAAGAAATTGAACAGTTTGACAAAATTATCTAGTAATGTGGATTTACTTAAACTTACTGACAAATTTTCTAATTGACAAATTTTCTCAATAAAAACAACAAAATAAGTTTTAAAAAGTAAAATTCATTATCATTTATTTTAATGGCTATGATTTATTTTTTAGTTTGTCTTGTCATTACTCATTTCGTATACAAAGTTATCATGATTATATATGTAGTAAACAACTCTTAGATTAAATAATAGGTACAAAAAACTCACAAAAAGTTTTTTAAATTTAAAAGGGTTTTTGATTATGACAAAAAATAAAAGGCTTATCAAAATATTTTAGCAAACTATTTTTAAGGACACCAATATCAATTTGCCCATTAGAGAGTAAATCTAGCCCTACATTAATATATACATTTAATAAATAAGTATATAAAGTAAATAAATATATAATGTAGATAAATGATAGTAATAACAAAAAAGTTTATAATAAGTGAAATAGAAAATAAATATAAAAAAGTATATAATAAGAATAATAATAGCTGTAAGTGATTTGGCTCAGTTCAGCTTTTACAAAGCAGAACACAGTAAATAGTATTGATTTTTAGCTTCAACACTGTTCTCCTATGTAAAAGCCAGACATTTGCCAACCCACACCTTAATTGGGTGGAAAACTAGATATAGGTACTTTTCCAAATTTGAGAACCTTAGTGAAGATTTATTGTCATACACATATATATATATATATATATATATATATATATATATACATATATATATATATATATATATATATATATATATATATATATATATATATATATATATATATATATATATATATATATATATATATATACATACATATACACATACACAAAGTAATTTTTGTTAAAAGGATTTCCAAGTACTATGAAATTATTTTCTTGTATGAAATAATTAAAAAAAAAAAATCAAGCTGTAATTAAAAGATATACTTGAGTTTTTTGAGTCTTTAAATATAAAGTTGTTTTTGTTAACACTTTACACTAATAAAAAAATTCATTAGTGTTTTTTAGAAATTAATTTTGATGAAATAATTTTTCGTAATATGTCATTTTTTGCAATATATTTCTTATTGCTACATATGATAAGATACTTTAAAACAATAGGGACAATGAAACTTCTAAATAAAAGCACAAGGTGGTAAAAATTTTCTTTTAAAACTTCAAAAAAGTATTTATGACAAAATACAAACAAGGAAGAAAAGTCTAACCTTTGTTCTCCCAGAATGGTGTAAACATACTGGCAAAGGTTTAGTGTGTTATAAAGAAACTAAGAAATTCATAATATATTTCTAGCTGAAGTTTATGTTAATGCTACATGTAGAATACTGTTTGAAAAGAACCAGGTACAAGCAAAGTAAGGCTTAAAAGCAATATCAAAAAAACTTATAAAAGATGCTAAAAATGTAATAGTAAGTTTGCCATGTTTCCCAAGATCCAATTTAAAAGAGTGATGTCATCATTTAGCTTTAGATTTTACAATAATTTGTACAATTAAAAAACAAAAATTTGGAGTTTTAAAAGTTAATAGTTTTTAGGGCTTATATCTAAAGGAAATTTAGATAATTTAAGGTTTGATTTTCATTTTGGCCCCAAATCTGGCATGCATATCTTAGGTTGTAACCAAATATGACATAAGTGCTTGTAAGTGTCTTAAAGTTTATAAAGTGTCTAACTTTAGATAACATTTTAATTGATCTAGTTTAGTTTTTAAATATAAGACTTAAATAGAACTTAGTTTTTAAATACGAGACTTAAATAAGTATGATGAGACTTAAGTAAGTACGATGAGACTAAAAAAATATGTTTTCATCAACAAAACTGCAGGATGTTTAATTGATTTTGAATTAGTTAATGTGTCTCAGTCATCTTTAAGATTAAATTGTCTAAGGTAATTTTTAAACTTTGTTTAAATTTTTTTTTTTTTTTATTATGTAAAAAATTTTTTTCTCTCAGCCAGTTAACAACATAATATATGACCTCATTAGTTTTTGTGTGCATTATATAAAATATCTTTAACTATTAGCAGGTTAATGTTGTCAGAAAATTGGTAGTTGGAAACATCAATACAAGTGTTAAGTTCATTAATGTATATTAAAAAAGGTAGAGGCCCAAGAACAGATCTTTGAGGGACTCCTGAACATAAAAGTTTCTTTTGTGAAGGTATTATGTTCATAGTTGTGAATTGAGTTCTGTTGTTTAAGTAAGATTTGAACCATTATAGAAGATATATACAATATACACTATAAAATTCTAAATGGTGAAAAGAATCTATTTATGATTTGTCAGCTTTAGTAACTTCTGCAAAAAGACTCATTCCATCATCTACATGTTGCATTTAATAATGCACTTTATCTGATTCTAAATAAACCACTTTGAAGCTTATTAATGATACCATGTATATACAACTAAAAATGTGTTTAATAAGCAGTGTGACATCATACTATAATAGCTTACTTCCGGAGGCTTTAGTGCATACATGGAGTATCTTATAGCCTGCTGCTTTAAAAAAGTGCTGTTTCATTGACTGATGGTTCTGGATGAGGCAGCAATCTTTTCTTTCATTATTCTTTGTTTTTTTCTTTATTTTCTAAAAAAGCTGTATAGTATAAAGATAAGCAAAATTTGTATAAATATATATATATATATATATATATATATATATATATATATATATATATATATATATATATATATATATATATATATATATATATAACGCACACATATAGTATTTAGAATAAATTATGTCTTGTCTAAACTCATGGCCAATCCTTAGTTTTATTCCTTCAAGTCTTGCAACTAAGGTAAAGAAAGCTTTTGTATTTGGAGGTGCAGGAAATGAAGCGTTGCTAACACTAACCAATGGTGATGTTTATGCACTAGGGTTTAATGGAAATGGCTGCTTAGGGGTTGGAGATGGTTCAAGTACATTAGAGCCTAAAATAATTGAACAATTATGTCAGAAAGATATTGTTCAACTTGCTTATGGAATGGGTCCTCATGTTTTAGCAGTTACAGGTATATGCTGTAAGTTATATTTTTTTAATGAAATGTTTTTGAAGTTTTACTGAAATTGTTTAATTTCTTTTAAGATTCTGGTGAACTGTATAGTTGGGGTCATGGTGGATATGGTCAACTTGGTCATACATCTGAAGAAAAATCTAAACCAGTTTTGGTTTATATGCAGAAAAAAGTAATTCAAGTTGCTTGTGGTTCGTATCACTCAATTGCTTTAACTGAAGATGGAGAGGTAATTGACATAACTTTAAAATTATCTATAAATAATATTTTTTATAGTAAATTTAAAGTCAGTTTATAAGCTATGCAAACCATAGGGTTTGCTCCAACTATTTTCCTACACATAACCACTTTCCACTATTTTTTCAAATATTCTGTCTTGGCTTTATAATGCATGACTTTTGCTCTTTAAAACAATAATAAAAAAAAAATGCATGCATGTTATGATCGCTGATTACATTAAAAAAAAAAGATTGTGATAAAACTTTAAGTTTTATCACAATCTTTTTTTTTTAATGTAATTTTATACAATATATATATTTATATTGATCTTTTTTGTAAATAATTTAAATTGTATTAATAAGTCTTAAACAAGCTTTGTATCTAAACCTGATACAACAAATAGTTTAATAAATAAACTCTTAAAGTGGCTTTTTATCTAAACCTGATACAACAAATAGTATCATTTGCACTAATAGTACTATTTGATACTTATTAATTTGAACACTTTAAAAAACTAAATTTAACTAAATTTAACTCAAATAAAACTTTAAATAAAACTTTAGTAAAAAAAACTATTGAATTAATTGTAAAAGTTTTTTGACCTAAATGTACTTAAATCTGTCAGATGCTTTATAATGCTTTGACTGATAAAAATATTAGTAACCTTGGAAGCATTAAGTGATCTTTTTTACAGTAAGTTTCATTTTCTTCTAAAATGCACCAATTTTTTTTTTGTCACTAATTTAAATGAAGGCAATTGGACTAATTTAATTGTCCAATTGCCTTCATTTCTGCATCAAGTGACTTTTTTGGTGGTTTTTTCTTATGTTAAACTTACAGATTTTCTGTTTTCAATAATTTTTGAATAAAAGATTACTACATTTAAATTTTGTTGCTAAATTTTGTTGTGATTGAGTTGGGTTTTGCTAAATCAAGTCAACTATTGATTTAACTTTCCTTTGTCATTAAAAACATTTAACGAAAATTGAAACAAAAGGTTTTTAAAATTGACGTCTTTTTAAACATTTCTATATAAAATTTCAAAATATTTTTTTCAATTTTCCGACTTTTTACTCAACATTGCAAAAACTAATCAGATAAAAACAAAGATCAACACCCTCCTGAATCTATAGTTTAAAGAAGAAAAATTATTATTATTATTTTTAATTAGCTGTTATCAATTTTAAAGTAAATTTAAAAAATAAATAAATAAAAGTTATTACTCAAGACATAACACAACCCTATGACAACAATATAACAAATACCACTGATTGAGACTCTTTTGCGTTGTTGAAGACAGGAAAAACAACAGTTTCACATATTTGTGCACCCAGTGGCACTAATTTGTGTATATCCATCCTTTTCATTGTGCACTGGTGTTTAACTTTACTACAAAAAAAAAGTATTATGCATAACTGAGATGTTTTAATATCATTATGTACAGAAATCAACTAACAGTCAAATATATCATATATAAAGCTAAATTCATCAAACACAGAATGCTATTTTTATTAAAATTAAAAACATGAACTAATGTGGGTTTTGTCCTGTTGTCTTCAAATAAACTAACAACTATTTTTATTCTTCTTCCAGTGTTCCAGGGTGTAAGATGTTCCAGTGTTCCAGGGTGTAAGATGTATGGGTATGTAAGATGTTGTTTTCCTTAAGCAAAAAAATTAAATATAATACAGTAGGGTGTGTCGATTTTTATGATAAACTGCACTTTTTTTAATTTAGAAAAAAGAGTAGTGAAAATTTAAAAATTTATAACTTTTTAAAAGGAGTGATATTTTTAAAAATTAACTTTAGTGCTAGCTTGGTAACTTTTCATTTTATTTTTACTTATTTTGGTTTTGCTAAAATAAGTACCAAAAATGCGTAGCTATTCATTTCTTTTCATTTTACTTCATATTCGGACTAAAAGGAAAGCTCCAGTAAACATATTTAGTTTATTAGAGATGTCGAATAGAACAAGGAATGCATTATTTATTAAAATGAGCAATCTTGTAGGGAATGGAAAAGAACTTTATGTATCTGAGCTTCCAACAGCCAGAGATATTCTACGATATGGTATACTTTTAAGAGAAATCAGTGAAAAAAATTCGAGGAACTATACTGTAGATCAGCTAGTAACTGATATGGTACCCACTGTTCTGGATCAATGGTTAAAGGCAAATGCCCTTTTTATATATCCAGTTGTAATCCATGAAAAAACAATTTTTAAAAAACTCAAGTATTTATGGAAATCTGCTGTCAATCTTAGTAATGGACGTGGAAAAAAAGCTGAAAAAGAAAGATTTTCTCTAAAACTAGACAAGCTTGTGGACATTTTACTGTGTAAATGTAAATTAATTCTTTGTTCAGAGTACAAATGTGGTTCAAGAATCCAAAAAAATTGAAAAAAAACAACAACAAAAAATAGCAATGATAAAGAAAAAAAAGGTAGCTATTTAATAATACTTACTTGTACGACAATATAATATATACAAACATTTATCATTTTAAAAAGAAGAATTTATTATAATATATAACTTTTTTTTTAAGGCAGATAAAACAAATGATAAACTTGAACAATTTGATTGTCTGAATGAAAATGAATATGTATCTCCTTTTCAGACACATATGGGGGAAGTAAGTTTAAAACTATTAGTTGCTATCAAAGTATTTATTTCATTTTCAGTATTTTTCTTCATATTCTGTATTCAAGTGGGTTTTTATTACAATTATAAGATTGAATTAAAATTCTATATTGTATTTTTGTGGACAAATATGAAATTGAGCAGATGTGGAGTTAAATAAGTTATTGATTATTTTGAGAATGACAAAAAAACAGTTGCATAAATTTTAGTATAGATTGTGATTAAAAATAAAAATAAAATATTTGTATTTTTTAGGATTATGTACGTCACAAAACTGTTATGCAAGAAAAAGTTTACGCAAATAGCTCCTCTATGACATTTCAAGATAATAGTGAGCAGAACATAATCCAAGTAGATACTCAAACTAAATGTAAATCACCTCTTAATCGAACTTTTTCTATGTATAATACTATGAAAATCAAAAATATTGCATCGGCTAGCATGAGACATCAAACAAGTTTAAGAGAAGCAGCTGAAATAGCCACGGCTGCCTTGATAGATGCAAAACTTATAAGCGAGAGTGAGTTACATCTTATTATAGATTATAACAAAATCAAAAGGGCTCAAGAAAAATTAGCAAAAGAATTAAACAACCAGTTTGAGATAGACCTAGAAAATAACCCGGTTACTTCCCTTTTTTTTGATGGAAGAGTAGATGCTACAAAAATGTTTATAGAGGCAAATGAAAGAAATTTTCCTAGCCTTATTAAAGAGGAACATTACTCTGTTGTAAAAGACCCAGGGGGTGACTATCTTTTCCATTTTGTTCCAGATGTGACAGCTAATAAAAAAAAAAGCAGAAGTTATTGCAGATTACTTGGTTGACTGGTTAAAAACTAAAAATCAAATTCAAAATCTCATGGCTATTGGAGGAGATAGCACAAATGTTAATACTGGTTGGGCAGGTGGTGTCATGCAATAGGTAGAGAAAAAAGTAAATAGAAGATTAGTTTGGATTGTTTGTGATTTACACACTGGTGAGTTAGGGTTAAGGCATTTAATTGAAAATTTAGATGGTAAAACACTTTCTTATAATAAATGGTCTGGACCACTTGGGAAAATGCTTGACACAGCAACTGAAATTGAAATTAATTCAAACTTTACTAAAATAAATTTAGGTTCTCCTTTAATATATCTCAGTCAGGAGATTATTAAGGATTTAAGCACTGATCAAAGTTATGCCTATCAAATTTGCCAAGCAATAAAGACTGGAGTTCTACCTAACAGGTTAGCAATGCTGGAAATTGGACCAGTCTGCCACAGTAGATGGCTAACAATAGCCCTTCGATTTTGCAGAATTTGGGTGTCAAATCATGGGCTTACTGGTGAAAATCTAGAAAATTTACAAATGATTGTAAATTTTATTGTTAGTGTTTACATACCCAATTGGTTTAACATTAAAGTAAAATCAATTTGGATAGAGGGTCCCAGACATGTTTTATATCAACTAGAGCTACTTAGAACTCAAAGTAAAAATGTTTTAGATATTGTTATGCCAACAATTAGGCGATCAGCGTGGTATGCACATTCTGAAGCAATTTTACAAGCCATGCTTTGCAGCAAAAATACAGAAGAAAGAAAAGAAGCTAACTAGGATTCTTAAGATTCGAGGAGAAGGAGATGAGGTAACTCAAGTTGGAGATAGTAGTATCAGAGTAAGAAAAACACCTGAAATAAATCCTCAATTTGATCAGCTAGCTAATCTCATAACATGGAACTTGAATGTAACTGAGCCACCACTTACCTGCAATCTTACCTCTGCCACAATCAGGGAGTTTTTAAACTACCCTATGGAAGTTCCTCTTTAAACTTCTCATACACAGTCTGTTGAAAGATGCGTCAAGTTGGTAACTGAAGCTGCAGGCCATGTTTACACACACGAGAGAAGAGAATCTTATATACGTGCTCAGCTTGCAAGTAGACATTTAATGTCAAGAAATAGAAGCAAAAAGGATATGACAACCATTGTACAAATGCAAGTGGAGTAGCTAAAGTCGTTAAAAAATGATGTGTTCGTTAAAAACTTGTATACTTAATACTTTTAATAGTTTGCATTGTTGACAGAAGGAAGTTTTTTTTTATAAGTAACGGATACATACAAAAATGAGGAAGGCTTCAGGAATTCTACTGCGTACATACTTTGTAGATGCCACCTCATTATATAATCTTTTTCGCGGGCATATTACAATAACAATAAAGAAAATTGGGTTGACAAGACTACCTAAACCCTAAATGAAGGGGGCGGGGCTAGCAATTTTAGGGACCTTTTTCAAATTAAAGGATCTTTTTTTTTCTTTTTTTAAGTAATGCTCGAGTGTGAAAGATTTTTTAGAACTTGAAGTCCTTACGACCGGTTTGGGGGAGGGGGGCTCCAACCCTCTAGCCACGGCATTACCTTGTAAAAATGCCTATTAGGTGACACCAGCGCTTAATAAACATAAATATATATTTTTAAATATTCAATATTTACTTACTATCGTTTATCGAGAACATCATACATCATGATAACAGATACAAAAACAATTATCAGTGCAATTTCATTAAAAAAAAAAGATAGGAGCAAAAAACGACCAAAAGAGCCAAAATTCATATAAAAATTTACCAAGCTTGCACTTAAAGATTTTTTTTTTTTTTAATTTCTCCTGTATTTAAATAACCATGAAGTTACTTTTTTTCACTACTCTTTTTTGATATTTGAAAAAAAAAAAAATCGACACAGCCTAATAATACAGGTTGTCTGCCAATATTTAAAGATGAATTTTCCTGACTTTTTTCCCTGATTCTCATCCTGTTTTTGCTGACTTAATTTAAAGCAACAAAAGCTCAACTTTAGAGAAAATAAACTTAAATTCGTTCAGAAAAATGTTTTAGTGCAAATATATATATATATATATATATATATATATATATATATATATATATATATATATATATATATATATATATATATATATATATATATATATATATATGTATATATATATATATATATATATATATATATATATATATATATATATATATATATATATATATATATATATATATGTATATATATATATATATATATAAACATAATTATAAGCAACATTCAAATTATCAATAGAAGGCTATAAAAAAAATCTTCTGAATAAATTTTTACATTACGTGTATGATACAAAACTGACATAGGTCATGTACATTTGCCACTTAGCCATTTTTCCTGATTATTTCAAAATACAACCCAATTTCCCTGATTATTCCCTGGTCTTTTGCAGAAATCTAAATTCCCTGATTTCCTTGATCTGGCCGACGCCCTGTAATAACTTCCACATAATCTTTATACATATTTTGAAAATGAAATATTGCATTATTTTTTTAAATATGGAAACTATTTTAAATTGATTGCACACTTGTTATGATTTTTCGCAATTATTGGGGCATGTACTTTTACTTAAACAACTAAAATTCAATATAATAAATAAATCTTAACCTTAGTCTGTATAATATTATTATTAGGAATGAATATATTACATATTATTCTAAAATATTACAATTAAACATTTTAAATCTTACACTTTTATTAAAGAACTTGTTTTTGCTAGCTCATTCGCAAGATTAGTTGATTTTGCCACAAATAACATAATTGAATTTTTGTTTTTGCAACCATTAACAAGTTTTTGTTCTGTGTTTATCATGTTTGTCATATTCTGAAAACATATCAAATATAACTGAAAATTGCAATTTATTAGACAAGCTCTATATTAGGAAATAATTGAGTATTTTAAAAAAATTTACAGCTTTCTTACTCTCAAATCATCAAAAATTGGTTAGATTTGTGCAAAACATAAAGTAGTCCTTCTTATCTTACTTCCCATTTCATAATAAGGAGTTTAAGTAGAACTGTTGGTGTTGTTCAATTTATCCTTATAAATTATTAGTGGCTTTTTATACCTGCTTGTCATTATTTGCTTCTACATATATATTGAACTAAATACATGATTTTATTACATGAATTTAAAATTATAGGCTGATGTTTTTAATACAAATATATATATATATATATATATAATATATATATATATATGCATACATACATACATACATACATACATACATACATACATACATACATACATACATACATACAGCTCTCGGAATTAGAGTCGGCATTTGGCAATGCTGACCTAACTGCCAACCTAAAAGTGTTTGAGGTCGACAAAAATTTGCCAACCTCGTTTCTATGTTTTATGGTAAGACCTTTGTATCAATTTTTTTTTTGCCAACCTGATGCCGACCTCTAAAAGATTGAGGTCAATTGATTCGATTGAGGTTGGCAAATTATTGTCGACATTTTTTTCTAATTCCAAGGGTTGATATATATAAACTACATCAAATTTACATTAAAGTAAAAGATCATAAATTTTTAAAAATAAAAACGCAATATTAATAAAATAAAAAAATATATATATATATATATAAAAAGTTTTAAGAGCTCCATCTTTTCAAACATTATAAATGTGAAAGAAAGAAAGCAAAGGAAGCAAATTACACCAAAAGCTAACAGAGTTGTTATTTTAATGATTCCAATATTTTTAGATGTTCATTATGAAAAACTAACATATACTAAACTCCAACTAAACTTTTCTGTAAAAGATTAGAAGTTATCTCTAAATATTCTTACAAAAGCTGCATATAATCAAAAAATATATTTAAGATAACTAAAATTTTAACAACTATATATTAAGAAAATGATGATCTCTTGGATTCATACATGCGGACATTGGAGCTTTAATTTTTTTAATGCCTCACCTGGCCCATGTGTTTCTCTTTTTTGTGCAGTTAGTTTATTTTTAAATATATTTGAATTAATTTTCATTTAATATTTTAAGGGAGTATAAATGCCCTTGTTGTCAAGTATAATATATATATATATATATATATATATATATATATATATATATATATATATATATATATATATATATATATATATATATATATATATATATATATGTATATATACACACTTACTAAAGCGTGTTTTGATAAGCATTTGCTCACTTTTTCTGCTTACCTTAAGCTATACCGTTTTTTTCGAAAAAGAAGAAGAAAAAACAAAGAATGATGAATAAAACGATTGCTTCCCCATCCTAAACCCTCAGTCGATGTAGCAGCACTCCACTGCGAGTCAGACTATTTGTCAGTCGATGTATGTACTGAAGCCCCAGCAGGCTATTTCAGTATAACATCAGATTGCTTACCTTAGTACGCAATACTATTTGTGTGTATATATATATATATATATATATATATATATATATATATATATATATATATATATATATATATATATATATAATATATATATATAATATAATATATATATAAATATAATATATATAATATATATATATACATATATTATATATATATATATATATATATATATATATATATATATATATATATATATATATATATATATATAAAACTGTTAAAAAGAAACTATTGCATTGATTTGTTTTTGTTTTGTTTTTAATGGTTTTATTATTGGGCAATTGACTGGTAATTTTTTTCAGAAACTTACATCTTAAACTTATATTGCTTTATCAAAATAATAAATAAAAATTTTCCAGCAATAATTTTATCAGGGCTGTGGAGTCAGAGTTGCGGAGTAACGACAATTATAGCAGAGTCGGAGTTGCTAAAAAATATTGTGACTCCGACTCTGATAGTAAAATTCCTTGGTATTGCACGTGCATGTACAAAACATTAAATTAACCTTATGTTCATACTAAACCTCAAAGAATGTTTCATAAATTTGTCAAAAAAACTTGTCGCACAATATTTTTTAAAGAATTCAAAGAATTTTTCAAAAATTTTGCTTTTTTACGACTCCACACCCCTGAATTTTATCAATAACTTTTTTACTTTCTTTTTTTTTTTTTTTTTTGCAAGGTTAGTTTAATTTGATGATTTTCTTAACTAAATATCGTATAAATTTTTATTGCTTGCTGTAAACAATAAAGATAATACCATGTTTTAGATATTCATCCAAATCTGAAATAAACTCGACTTTTTTATTTTAACTATTTTATATTTTCTTTAACTATTTTCATATAATATTTATAAATTTATAGAATGTAGCTTTTATTACAAAAAAAATTCAGCTCATTTTTTTTACTTGATATTGAATATTAAGTTAAAGTAGATAAGTAATTTTTTGTTCATAGGTTTATGCTTGGGGCTCAAATAACTGTGGTCAACTTGGTTTGGGTATATCAAACAACCAAGCTACACCAAAGCGAGTTTCTTTAATACCTTGTATGATTTTATTTTTAACACTTTATTAAGCTAAAAAAATATATATATAAATTTATTATTTAAAAAATTTTTTTAGCAAAGAAAATAGTTTCAGTTTCTTGCGGCCAGTCTTTTACTGTTATGTTAACTACTGATGGAGAAGTATATTTATATTTTTAAAAATATATATTTCTATTTCTATTTATATAATTTATAGTTTATAGTTTTTATAATCTTTACTATAAATTACTGTATTTAATTTAATGTAATTTTTAATTAGTTGTACTCTTGGGGTTACAATGGTAATGGTCAACTCGGAATAGAAAATAATACAAATCAGTTGCAACCTGTTCGAGTTACAGGATCTCTTTTTGGAAAATTTATAGAAAAAGTGATTTGTTTTTTTAAATAATTTTTTATAATTAAAGTAGAGTTATATAATTCAAGTAGAGAATGTTGAAATATTTTTTGACAAGAGTAACGGTGTATTACACTCTATTCCTGACAAAGCATTCAATATTTTGTTGGGGCAATTTGACCTTGATCACAACTTTTTTATATTATTTCAAAAACATGTTAAAAGAATTAACTTCATAACTTTAATCTTTTCTAATCAACTATGTGTATATCAATGAAAGGCTATTAAACAAAGTAACAATTTACTTTTATTGATCGTTTACAAAAAGAAAAAATCTTGTTTTATAATTTATCAAAATTTTGTAAAGTTTATATTCCTTAAATATAACAAATTTTATTAGTAAATTATATAATTATAGTCAGGGCCGTCCCAAAGAGATTTTAAAGGAGGGGTGACATGTTTGTTTTTTGCCGACTAAAGCCAAAAAAAATTTTTTGACCACTAACTTATCTTTAAAAAAAAAGGTTCTCGTTTTCCGACATTTGCTAACTGCCAACTATAAATTCAATTTTGCCGACTCCAGTGTCCATTTGGCGACTAATAAAATTCGTAGAGGGGGCTAGACACCTCTATGTCCCCCCTGCCTCAGGATGGCCCTGATTACATTAAAGTTGAAATTAAATATTGTATAAAATATAAATTGTTGTTTAGTTTTTTTGGCAAGCATTAAATTTTTAATGTTTAAAAAAAAAGAATTTTAAATCATTGAAAATCAATATATTTTATAAAAGAACTTAAATGAAGAACTTAAATGAATGTAAATTTTAATAATTTTTATCAGTTCGAATCAGATGTAGAACTAAAAATTAAAAAGTTTCGAAACATATTCGTAAATGTCATTTATTATAATTTTTTTAATAGACTTTTTTTTTTTAGTTTTTTTGTTGTTTTACATTGAGATTTCTTTTCATTTTTTAGAATTTTTTCATTTACCAGTTGAACTTTTTTCGTGCATTTTTGAAATGTCATCAAATCATCCAGAAAACTGTGGTCAAGTTGTTGCGACAAAACATTAGAGCCTGGTTAGACATAGAGTGCAGTAGTGGGATACTCCTGTCAAACCCTATATATATATACATATATATATATATACATATATATATACATATATATATACATATATATATACATATATATATATATATATATACATATATATATACATATATATATACATATATATATACATATACATATATATATATATATATATACATACATATATATATATATATATATATATATATATATATATATATATATATATATATATATATATATATATATATATATATATATATATATATATATATATATATATATATATATATATATATATATATATATATATATATATATATATATATATATATATATATATATGTATATGTTAGGACAATCTTTTAAACTGATATATATGTATATGTTATTTACAAAAGATTGTATGTGGAATGGCACATGTACTTGTACTCACTGATATTGGTGAGTTATACAGTTGGGGTGCAAACTCATATGGCCAACTTGGTCTTGGAACTACCCATAATACATCTGTACCAACACTCATTAACACAACCACTGATGATAGGTAATTTATTTTAATATAGGTAATTTATTTTAATATATGTAATTTATTTTAATGGTAAGTTATTTTTAATAATGATAAGTAATTTATTTTCTGTACTTGAAGAAAGTTTATTATTAGTTTTAACTTTGTGTTCAGGTGGTCGGATATTGCAGCTCATCACTATAATCATATATCTGCTGGTGTAACTATATCTGGAAAGGTGTGATTTTTACTCATTGTTTTAGCAACATGTATCTTAAATCTTTTTTTTTTTTTAATTTATAGTAGAATATTTTAATAATTTTGAGTAAATTGTTTTTTAAATTACTTTTTAAATTGTTTATATTATTATTTTTTTTTTTGAAAAGATCTATATGTGGGGGCATTGTCATGGATTAACCATATTATCACCAAGAGAAGTTGCTGTAAATAATCTTGATGGAGTATTTTCTTGTTTTGGAATGCCACAGATAATGTACAAGTTCATTGATATTGGTAAATACTGTACAAAAAATGTCTTTTAACATTTTTATACTTTCAATTTTAAGCGGGGTTTTAATTTTGCACTTTATTGAAATCTTTAAAATAAGTTTTAAATATTTTTAGATCATGAAGAGAACCAAACTATAAAAGAAGCTATTGCAAAGTCATTTAATGAATCAGTGAGTAGTTTTTTGTAATAATTTTATTCATTTCGTTCTAGTATATTCTTTTATAAATTCATGTGTTATGGGTGAAATATATATGAGCGCTTCATCTACGGTTTAAGAATATGTAGTTTAGTATGTGAGTGCATTCTTTAACTGTATAAGATTTTTAATATTTTTTTCCAGGCTTTTCTCAAAAAAAAAAAAAAAAAATTGAAAAATCTATTTTTTTAATGTGCTTTATCTTTATACAACTTTTTAGAACAAAAATGCTTCCAATTAGATTGTACACCAGCCTAAATATTACAACAGTATTCCATAGAATCTTATTCCATAAGGAATAAAAAAAAAATGGAGTTTACAATAAAAAGGGGAATTTTAGCAGATGCTAACATTGCAATGGTTGTGTAGTAACCATAGTAACCCAAGAAACTAGAGGTCTTAGTAAAAGTGTTGTCATTCATCAATCAAATAAGATATAAAGAATAGGACTTGATAAAAGTGTTATCATTTATCAATATAACAACTGATTTTGGTTTGGGATAAATTTCACTGGCCATTGCAAGCTTCAGTATTTATTAAAAGTAATATTCACAACAACCGTAGATAAAACAAAAGTTGGTAGCTTGCCTGAGAAACAACCATGGCATACTATGTATACCATGGTAGTATTTTTAGAAAATAAAAGGAGATGCAACCTTGCTATGATACTCAAACTTAGCTGTTAGAGCAACTGAATGAAAACTAGAATGCATTTTTGCACCTTATAAAAAAGAACAGTCACAATTTATTATGCAACAGTATGTTGTCCAATAATGGCCTTTGCTTTATAGTCATGGTTTATTTATTAGAAATAAATTGATTGAAACATAGATAGCAATTAATTCAAATACAGATAGCTATGGTTCAAATAAAATATGAGGATAACTGTTTTATATTCACTTTCCTGTAATGAAATCAACTGTTTGATGTGCCTAATGTTTTATAAAGTATTTATTTGTAATTATTTTTTAAAATATATTCAAACATTTTGTAGCTGTATTGCTACCATTCAAAGATTTTCAGAATAATGTTCTATGGATCTATGATTCTATGCAAAAAATAATTGCATTAAAGTGAATACTTGCACTGCACAGTTTTTGTTTAAAGTGTGTTTGTGTTTTTGAGTTTTGGATTTGGAGAGTGTTGCAAATAAAGTAAAATATTTTTAAAAAATGAGTAGCTCTCTTGACTCTAGTGGACACAGCAATTGGAATATGAAGTTATAAAGTTATAAAAATTGCAACACACATACAATAGTAAAGTTTTGGATTTACAATCAGTTTTAAAAAAATCTCATAAAACCCAAAAAAACCCAGGGTTTAATAAACGTTAAGTCAAGTTGTTACATAAACATTATGTTGTTACAAAAACATTAAGTTGTTACATAAACATTAAGTTGTTACATAAACGTTAAGTTGTTACATAAACGTTAAGTTGTTACATAAATGTTAGGTTGTTACATAAACATTAAGTTGTTACATAAATGTTAGGTTGTTACATAAACATTAAGTTGTTACATAAATGTTAGGTTGTTACATAAACATTATGTTGTTACATAAATGTTAGGTTGTTACATAAACATTATGTTGTTACATAAACATTATGTTGTTACATAAACGTTAAGTTGTTACATAAACGTTAAGTTGTTATGTAAACGTTAAGTTGTTACATAAACGTTAAGTTGTTACATAAATGTTATGTTGTTACATAAACATTAAGTTCTTAAATAAACATTAAGTTGTTACATAAACATTAAATTGTTACATAAACGTTAAGTTGTTACATAAACGTCAAGTTGTTACGTAAACGTTTAGTTGTTACATAAACATTAGGTTGTTACATAAATGTCAAGTTGTTACATAGACATTATGTTGTTACATAAACATTAAGTTGTTACATAAACATTAAGTTGTTACATAAACATTAAGTTGTTACATAAACGTTAAGTTGTTACATAAATGTTAGGTTGTTACATAAACATTAAGTTGTTACATAAACATTAAGTTGTTACATAAACGTTAAGTTGTTACATAAATGTTAGGTTGTTACATAAACATTAAGTTGTTACATAAATGTTAGGTTGTTACATAAACATTATTTTGTTACATAAACATTATGTTGTTACATAAACATTAAGTTGTTACATAAACATTATGTTGTTACATAAACATTAAGTTGTTACGTAAATGTTAAGTTGTTACATAAACATTAAGTTGTTACATAAATGTTAAGTTGTTGCATAAACGTTAAGTCTTTTTTCTTTTTTTTTAGGTTCAAAATTATGGTGTTTTTTTTATAACGCACTGAAAATGAAAATTTCTGAAAAAAATCACTGAAAGTTTTTAAAAATGCAGTGGCATTTTCAGAAAAAAAGAAAAAAACCAAGAATAATGAAAAAAAGATTTCCATGCCAAATCTATCTGTCGATGTAGTGGCACTCCTTTGAGGCAGTAGGCTGTAAGATTGTCGATCTATGTACTGAAGCCCTCGGCCGCAAACTATTTCAGTGTGACTTCAGAAATGTCTAAACACGTATTCATATATATATATATATATATATATATATATATATATATATATATGTATCAATGGCAGATCCATAGGGGGCAATAGGAGCAATTGCTCTCTCTCTCTTGTCCTTCCCTCCCCCCTCCTTCTTCTTTCCCTCCCTCTTCCCTTCCTGTTGTGATGTTTCGGAAAGAATTTTTTTTCGCAAAATTATAAATTTAACAAAGCATGTTGTTTGAAAAATGTGAATTATGGTAACTAATTAAAAGTCGCAAGAAATTTCAATAAATTAGTGTGATGAAAAAAAAAAGTTGAACTATTAGGATAGCAATATATGACATAATGTAAGGCTAATGTAAGACAGTTTAAAACTTATATTCTAAAAAAAAATCTAAAAAAATGTTACAATTTAAACCTGAAAATTTTCACCCTACCCCCCTACCCCCCTCTTTACTCTACAAGGATCTGGATCTAGGTCTAAATCCACTAAATTAAAAAATTGCCCCCTTTCTTTCTTCCTAGATTGTCTGGATCCACCAAATCAAAAAAACCTAAAAATTGTCCTCCCCTCTTCTTTAATTGATGGCCAGTCTTACTGAATGATACAACTCACAAATTTACCTAATCAATATTCAATAATCCATGAAACATTAAATAAGTAAAATATGGTTAGATTTTTTGTTTCTTTTTTTTAAAATGGTTTTCAACAACTTTTTGTTTTTTAAATTACAACAAATTTACCTTCAAAAAGGCTGCATGCACCCACACAAGCAACCACAACCCTAAGCAACCATTATTAAAGTTACTAGAACCATTATTAAAGTCACTAGAAAGAAGTAAAGAAGAAAATTAAAAAACAAGCAAATGAGCAAAAAACTTTATAGACTGTAATTTATATACTTCAGAAAAATATGAAGTTTAGAAAAAATTCCAAAACTTTGATATTTAAGGAAATGAATTTTTTAGGCATAAACAGTTAAACTAAAAAGCTTGCAGCTTTATTGAATAAGTTACACAAGATTGTGTTTTAGTTTGTAGACCAAGTAATGGTAGCTGGCTTGAGCAACGACCATACTAATCATACTATCATATTAGTAAAAAGATATAGAAATGCAATTTTAAGATATTGGAACAGAAGTTCAAATTTGAAAACTAAAGCAGGTTTAACTACAATAAGCTCTTGAACCTTTTCTAAAATAGAGTTTTGTTAGAAAAAACTGAATATATTACAACATTTGGAAGAAAAACAGATAGAACCCAGAGACCAATAGAATGAGAACAATCAAGAGAATGGATTCTGAAGAAAAAAAATGAGAAGCATGATAAAGAGAGACTGATTTATTAATGTTAACTTCGCAATGGGTTGGATAATATCCATGAGAGATCAAAGATATAAAAAAAATTTTTTGAAAAATATATTTGAAAAATTTAATGCAAAAGTATAAACTGATTGAATAATATGTAAGAGTTTATATTGAATCTGACAAAGTTTGACAGAAGGCAAAAATCTAAATTTTTTAATCTTAATTTACAGGATTTTGGGACTTTTGAAACCAATCTGGCATTTATTACTTTTATATGGTTTTAATTTAAATCCTCATCACACGAATTCTTGAATGAAGAGTCTTGCAACTAGTTTTCTTAAAAATTTTAGAATAGAAGCAATATGTGTTATATTTTAAAAAGTAAGGGTTTGTTTGAAATTAATTTGGAGATTATTAGCATTTTAAAGCATTTCTAAACACTGTGAGAACTGGAGCTGGCTTAAAATAAAAATTTAAAAAAAAATTTATCAAAAAAAAAAACATTGATTTCAGCTCTTTAAAGAATCTTGTTACTTTTTCTTTCATAAGTTGTGCTTGCTCAACGCTGTTTATTATTGAAATTGGTAAAAGACTAAAATCAATATCTTTATCATCACCAGATAAACATAATATTCTGAAATTATCTGATGACAGGTTAAAGTCCTTTTCTACAGCAGTGTAGTTTTCAACATTTTATTTTTTAAGTCAATATTCAATATAGTTAAACAATAATAATATACTTTTTAAAAATTATGTACAAATTATGAAAAATTATTGAAAAACATTCAACATTATAAAGAGACACTGTTGTCATATAAAAACAAAATAAGCTATTTTATTTGTTGTGATATGGTTTCTACCATATCACAACAAATAAAATAGCTTATTTTGTCTATACTCTATACTAGTGTTTGTGTATTTTTTCTATACTCTATACTAGTGTTATATTTTGTGTGTTTTTCTTAGTGTCTAAAAGACAAAAAAAAATTTTCTAAAGAACTTTAGAAAATTTTTTTTTGTCTTTTAGCTCCTCTAATAACTTGGCACCTGGGTTCTAATATTTTTAGCTCATTAAACTCATAAAATACTAGTATAGAGTATAGACACTAAGAAAAACACACAAAATATAACACTAGTATAGAGTATAGACACTAAGAAAAACACACAAAATATAACACTAGTATATTTTGTTATATAACACTAGTATAGAGACACTAAGAAATTAAAGTATTAGAGTATAGAGACTAAGAAAAACACACAAAATATAACACTAGTATAGAGTATAGACACTAAGAAAAACACACAAAATATAACATTAGTATAGAGTATAGACACTAAGAAAAACACACAAAATATAGCACTAGTATAGAGTATAGACACTAAGAAAAACACACAAAATATAACACTAGTATAGAGTATAGACACTAAGAAAAACACACAAATCATATTTTTTCAATATATGGTAGAGCTTTAATAATATTTTCTTTATCTTCTGGTGTCCCTAACATCTTGGCGCTGCGGGCACATATGCCCCTTCTGTTTATACCTCCCCTTGCCTCCCTCTTCTTGGCAGCTTTGAGTATATACATAAATTTTCAGTATATAATGTACTATATGTTATATTTTAGCCTTCACTAATAATAATATACATGTTTTTTGTTTTTTATTTTTAGGTAAACTTAAATTTATAGATAAATAGTATTATAAATATATAACAATTTATAAATAGCAAATTATAAATATATAACAATTTATAAATAGCAATCTATAAATGTTTATAAATATATAACAATTTATAAATAGATTATTTTACATAATTCAAAAAAAAAAAAAATCAGTACATAATTATAAATGTTACAGGAAACAAGTGACATAACATTTCTTGTTGATGGAAAAGAAATACATGCACACAAGTCAATACTCAAAATCAGGTTAGATTTTATCTTGTTTTTATCTTGTATTAATTTTTTACTTTTTATTGTTTAAAGAAATTTTTCATTGTGGTTGCATTATTTTAATTATATATATATATATTTTTTACTGTGTTTGCATTGCCATATCATTAATTAACATTTTAGTTGTGCAATCACTGGTTTAATTTTGTGTAATTATGTAATCACCCTAATTTTATATTCATATATTATACAATATATATTATAATATATACATAATAATATTATTATTTATAATATATATATATATATATATATATATATATATATATATATATATATATATATATATATATATATATATATATATATATATATATATATATATATATATATATATATATATATATATATATATATATATATATAATAATAATAATATATATATATATATATTATAATATATTATAATATTATATTTAATGTAAAGTGAAATAGTTTTTTAGTAAAATTTTTTATAACTTGTAAATTGTAATCTCGGTTTTCAAATGCCACTATTTTTAGATGCCACTATTTTCGTAATATGCTTCATTCTAACTGGAAGGAATCAGATAAAAGGTTTGTTTTAAGCATTTTAAAAAATTAGTTTGAAATTTTTTTTTTTTTTTTTGGAAAACAAGATAAAAAAATTTAAAGGAATGAATGTTTAACATGTAAGAAATATTAGTTATTATCCTATTTTACTATATAAAACTCTATGAATTTCTAGAGCAACCTATAAGGTTCTATTAGAAAATTTCTAACACAAACATATCATTAGCTGTTTCAATCATTTGTGTTTTACTGTATACATATTGTTTATTTTTTTGTTTGTTGCAACTTACGAGAAATTAGATAAGAAAATTTTCTTTACATTAATAAGAAAATAGTCAGTTAATTACATTAGTTATTAAAATTACATTAGTTATTAAAATTACATTAGTTATTAAAATTACATTTTTATCAAAATTAATTACAGATGTTTCCTTAACTACAATTAAACATTAATAAATAAGTAAAATAAATTTTTATTTAGAGTTTTTTTTTTTTTAATATCTTTGCTTCCAACAAGACCGCAACCAATCACTATTAAATTGGAAGTTACTGGAAGAGAAAAGATGAAGATTATGGAGCAAGATAACAATTGACAGACAACTTAAAAGATTGCAAATAATATGAGTCAGGAAAGCAAGATGAAGGAAGCGAATTCCAAAGAATTGATGTTTGAGGAAAAAAAATAGACAAATAAGAGTTTTTGGAGCACTTAGGAATAGTCACAGAAAAAGGATGAGGCTTAATTGAATGACAAGTAACACGAGAATGAATTTTAGTAGATGGCACAAGAGACGCGAGCTCTTTAGAGCAGTGCCCATTATAGTGTCTGTAGAAAAGAGAAAGAGAAGCAACATTATGGTGATGCGATAATGGTTGGCTGCAAGAGCAGGTCTAACTATGTTTACAATGCGTTTTTGTCCATTGTCTAAAAGAGAAAGAGCATCATTGGAAGATCTGCCTCAGATATGGCAACAGTATTCCATACAAGGACAGATTTGAGATTTATAGAGATAAAGAATAGAATCCGGAGTAAGAAAGTGTCCAGCATGATAAAGAGATGCAACCTTAGCAGATGCTAATTTTGCAATAAATTTGATATTCGGTTGCCAAGAAAGTTCGGAAGTAAAAGTTAACCCTAGAAGATGAAGAGTAGTTTCATTACTGTTGAATCAAGACTCGTTGCGTTTATTACCGTTCATAAATATAGGAAGGTCTAAATTATTGCGATAATGATTGGCTGAAAAAAGTTGAGTTTTATCTGAATTAAAGTTCACCAGCCTAAGTTCATCTAATACACCATAAGAAGTAAGCTAATGGAGACCAGTATACCAAACTCAAAAAATTTATCAAAAGCTTTAGAAATGTCAAGAGTGATAGCCTTAACCTCTCCACCTCTATCTAATGCACAATAAAACCTCCTATAAGTTATTTCTGTTAGCAAGTCAGCTGTTGAACGAGAAGATCAAAATCCATACTGATGATCAGAAAGTATGTTATTAGATTTAAAATGAAAGATTAAGAGTTAGTTATTTAAAGAATCAAAAACCTGGCTTATGATCAGAAGAAAACTAATGAGACGGTAGACGAGTCAGATTGCTCTTCAGAATGAAACAAATGTCTAGCAATGGATTAATCTGTTTGATGGCTATATCAGGTATTACACAACTAGTGGAATCAAGAGATAATATTGATGAAAAGTTCTTAGCAAACAATTCAGCTTTGTAATTAGGTGAGGTGAGAAAATCTGAATCATACAAGAGAGATGGAATTACAGATTTCCCCTTATTATTGATATATATATAATGATTGAAATTACAAACAGGGACACCATTTATGCACAACATGGCACTGTTAGAACTTTAATATTTTACAGCTGTTGATGGAATCAACCTCTCTCAGCCTCTCTGAGAGCTACCACAGAGTTCAGGTAACATGACTATCCTCCAGCCTCAGAACCATAAAACTGAGTTTTAGAGCTGTACCCTCATTAAGAAATAATAGAATGAGTTGCCTAGTTATTAAAACTGAGACTCAAGCAAAATCCATGCACTGAGTCAAGAAGATCCAGCATTCAACATCCTAAACTGAAAACAATGTATTAAAAATATATCTGCGCCAGCCTAATTGATGAAGAAGGGGTGCGGAGCTGATCAACAGATAGAATCTGTTTATCCTTTGAGTCTTTGCCTAGGAGGCCTTCTACAAGACAGTAGTCAGATGCGTTTAACATCTGCCCACAGATGAGTGTTTTTATTGAGACACCATCTCTAGCCTTTACTCAAACAAGAGCCCCAAGGCAGGGAGTGTTTTAAGTTGGAGTTGGATTCTCCTAGCTCCTCCTAAAAAAATCATATCCTACAAGGCAGTTGGACATTAAGCAGGTTGTACTGGGTTACATGTTACCAGTAGCAGGATAACCTGACCTGAATTAGACTAATGTACAAGTGGCCATTTCACTAATCTGAAATGTAGTTGATTTTTTTCAGGTAATTCTTAAAGGCAAAGAAAATTACTTTATTAATTTTCTAGTCCTACTTCTAATTACCAATATTTTATTTTCAAATTTTATTTTTTATTTGCACTTGGGTCTGGAGAAGCGTTCTTGAGTTCACTGAAATAATTCCTATTATTGTATTTAATGTATAATGATATATAATATGTGTAGTATTAAGTTTGACATATAATCCGTTTTCTTCAGTATACCCGATAACTAATTCTTTCCCCCAAGAAAGAAAAGTTTTAAAGTTCTTAGAAATTGGTTTACTAACTTTAATTATTTTTGCTTTTATTAACTTTAATTTTAATTATTCAGCCATTCTTACAAACTCGTTATACTTAAACTTAAAGTTACTTTTTTCTGTTTTAAATACTAATTAAAATTATAAATCGCACTCACTTAACATCATCAGCGGTATTGTGAAGCAGTTCCGCTTCCTCTTCACAAAGTAATTTAATGTTTTAAGTTAATTTCTATCTAGCTAATTGAATTTCTACAGTAACTCAATGATTTAATTATTTTATTTGTTCATCTTACTAAGAAGAATTGTTTCAAATGTGTTCAAGTTACACGAAGCATAAAACAGTTATTGATAAAAAAATTTTATTTATAAATAAATCATCAAGCGTTAGTTTTATTGATTGAATCTTGTTGGACTTTTCAGGGCCGAGGGCTGCATTATTTTGGTGGCCTTTTTTATGTCTCACAGCGTAAAAATGACTAAAAAAAATACAGAATGGTCCTCTTGACTGTTTCGCGGCCCCTAACATTGTGAGTCCCGAGGCTATAGCCCTTCTACCCCTTTCCCCCCCCCCCCCCCCCCACTCACACACCTAGTTAATCCAGCACTGGAAATAAGACATAAGTATATAAGTAAAAATTATATATTCTCTTTGATAAATCAAAGAACATTTGTTTCCTTATTAAACAACCATTAACAGTAAGTTGTTACTTAATATAGAAAATGTCGTTTAATTTTATAAAAAAAATTATAAAAGAATTACGTTTCAAAAATAATTGCTCTAATCGTATTTATTTTGCTTAAAACTCTATTTTTTTAAACTCTCCCATCAGTCCAGTTAATCTTAATGCGCTTTTTTGTTTGTTTTTGAAATGTTCTCAAAACGACTAAAAAATCTGGCCGGTTTTTCGCAACTAAATATTATTTCCGTGGTCAGTTATCAAGTGCAGTCGCATCCGCTTCCCAACCAAGCCTGCCAGGTGTGGACAAACTTGAATGCTCCAAAAAATGTAATATCAGTGAAACAAAATTAAAAATCTCAACTTGCATTTACCAACATTAGAAAAATACATACGAAGGAAAATGGGGTTATTCAACAATAGTGGAACTTTTAAAAAACTGTCATGGTAATTTTGCATTGAACAATAAAAATACTTTTAAAGTAGAGGTTAATAATTTTAATAGAAAAGTGAGGGAGGCTTTTAAAATACCATACCATAAATATTCACCTTCAGATGGCGGTCTGAATCAGGATGACAGAGGTTAAGTCATAACTTCCTTTTGGAAACCTTTGTTTTGATATTTGAATCAAAAGAAACTATTGCATTGATTTGTTTTTGTTTTGTTTTTAGTGGTTTTTTATATTTATATTATACTTGATAACTAGGATATTAATACTCCCTTGAAATATTGTAATAAAAATAAAGAGTTACATCCAAAGAAGAAGTTTTTATTTAGTTACTATCGTGTTCTTAATACAAGGAGGGGGGGCATAAAAGGGGGGTAGGAATTTAAGTCCAGATATAATAAAAATAGGGGTTTTAATAAAAGAGGGGGTATGAATTTTTTTATGTTATAATATAACTATTTTTTATAAAAAATTTAAGTTAAGAAAACCAAACTAATATTTTTTACAAAACATGCATGAAACTATTTAAATCTAGTGTGGCTTGCAGTCAAGTGCATATTTTCTAACAGCTGTTTTATAATAGTTTCAATAGGATTTAATATGTTGATAAAAGTTTAGTGAGAAGTTAAAAGCTAATTTTTTATTAAATTTCGAAAAAGCAAGATTTACTTGGTCGGTGGTTTTTAAAGCCTGTTTACACTGAAAGATTTCGTTTTTATCAGTGACTGCAATAAATATTTTATAATTTTTAAAGCTGATTTTCACTGATTTTCTTTTTTGATAACAAGTAAAAATTATTAAACAGGCGGGAGGTCTAAATAAACTTAGGGGGGTGGGGAAATTTTCCAAAAAATAATAAACACCCCCCCCTCCTTTTATTAGGGACTCGAGAGTATATATATTAAACACTTTAAAGATGCCTTTTAAAATTAAGTACGAGTAGCAATAAAAAAAACTTTATTGAAAAAATGAAATCAGAGCACTTAACATTTAACTCATTTATATTATTTATTATTTAACTTATTTATTTTAAAAATACAATATCAAAGTAATTGGAAATGCTTTAAATAAAAATGCAAGGTACTTATGATAATCTTTGATGTTGATGAGTTTGAAATTAGATGTAAGATAAACTTGGGATTTTTGGGATTAGATGTAAGATAAATCAGGTTGTGGTTATTTTCTTCTACATTTTGAACTATTTCTAACTTTGTTGAGTTTGATGTACTTCTAGTTCCTTGGTTGAAAACTTGATGCTGATGCTGTCAAACATGTTAATGACAATCTTTCATTTTATTTCATTAGAGATATTTGTCCTCTATCAACACCAATACAGCACAGAATGAAAAAGATCCAATTTCCAGAAAGAACACACTTCAGTTACTAGTATATATATAGGTCAGTGCAATAAACAATATCTTTTACAAAACGGTTTCTACCACTCTTAAATTAATATCATGAATTGGCATAAGTTTATCATTCATTTAGTTTGACATCATAAAATTTCAAGAAGATGAAACCTTTTAGTAACATCAGTTATTTTCTTGTATTCCAGATTTTACAAACATCTTTTTCTAATCTTCTTCATTACACTGCACAATTTAGAACATTAGGTTTATCTTCAAGTTCATGATGGTTCCACTTCTTTTATGCCTTAAAGTTGATTGTTCTCTGTTCCTTCTGTTGCAAATTTTGTATTTGTACTGTGAGAAATAGCAGCTTTTATTGTATAAGAAACAACTCTTTCAATTACATTTGGATTTTTTGAAGTAATTAAAGCATGGCGATTTTGAACTGTAGTTGATTGAGAATAGTTTTTATTACAAAAAGGCAGAGACCATGTGATTTACAAAATAAAACAAAAACTACTCTTAAAAAACACCTCCAGTATCCTCCTGGTTGTGGAAAATTGGTTTTTAAAAAAAAAAAATTATCATATATACAATCATAGTTTATAATTAGGTTTGGGGTCTTCCATAAAGTACATGCACAGGTATGGGGAGGGAAGAAACCCAAAATTGCATGAATGCGTATAAGTGGGTGTATGTGTTAAAGACAGGGAGTGTTCTTGTTCTTGATTTCTTTCTTTATTAAAAATTATATTATGTAAAAGAGTAATATAGAATAAACTAAATTTTTTTTTGTTGTCTTTGGAAAGTTTATGTGATGGGAAAAGGGGAGGAGGTTGATTTTGCAACTTGGAGGGTTGTTAAAAACATATAATGCGTATAGGGGAAGAGGGGATCCTAAATCAGTGGTTTTACGCAGTAAAACCAGTGATTTATATGTAATATAGATGTAATAATCAGTGATTTTTTAAAAACTTTACATTTTTATATACGCAGATATAGCCATTTAAAGTTAAAAACCCCTCATTTTTTGAACATTTTACATTTTTAGAAAAGAGATCAAAAATAGAAAAAAGATTTTTTTCAATTTCCACATTTTTTATCTCATGTCAACTTGGATTGACATGAGATAAAAAATGACCGGATTTAAAACTAAATTGGTTTTAAAAAATAAAAATGCAGTTAACTTCAACTGATAACCTCTACATAAGAACAGTAAATGCTGTCTGTCATTAATCTTTATAGTAATGGGGGTCTAAAAGTTGTAGACAACGAGAAAAGTTCACAGACTTGGGTGGGCGAAGTTAAAAAATGTTTAACCTTTAACTTTTTAACATTGCTTGGGGAGTCAATTGATTGAGGAGATAGAGGTTGCGATTTTACTTCAGAATCATTCTAGTGAAATATAATGGTAAGTTTTACTATACAATAGGCAAAAGAGAGTTAATTTTAATATATTAATTCATTTTTTGTTGTTGCATGTAGGGAAATTGAAGTGGCGCAGTTTAGTTATAATGTGTACGAGGCGTTTATTCGATACTTGTATACTGATTTTGTAGATTTACCTCCCCATGATGCCATTGGTTAGTAACTTATGTTATACAATTTTTTGACTTACTTTAGAATTTTTGTTAATCTGTTTACATCGTTTTTTTGACAGCATTGCTCGATTTAGCTGATGCTTATTGTGAATTACGCTTAAAGAAACAATGTGAAAATATGATTAAAAAAGGTATATCCATTGAAAATGCTGCCATGCTTCTCGAGACATCGATAAAATATAGTGCAAAGGTAAGTAATAAATATTTTACAATTTAGTTTAAAAATTTTGTTAGGCGGTAGTTTACATTGCATTTTGATTTACTCTTAGTTTTATTTGTTTTCGATATTAGAAAAGCTTTGTTGTTGTTTTTTTTTGCATTAACTATCTACAGTCGTCATTTCAGATTTACCCGACTCTCTTCTATTCGTTCCGAATATAATATTAGATGACCATCTTCGGGACATTTCTAGCGAGCAACGTCTTGATGTATCTTCCGAAGATTTGCGATTTATTTGTATAGATGATAGACTGTGATCAGTTGAACACCTTCGATTGTTTTCTATTGATTCAGAACGACTATTTCTTCTTGAAACATTTTCTAAGTAATCATTTTCGTTTATATCAACAGAGGGATGAATTTGACGGACATCGCGGTTTAGAACTCTTTTAAAAAGTTTTTGCATCTCTTTACGCAATAATCGATTACGATACACAAACAAGTACGGAAATACGACTACTGAAAAAAATAAAAGATTTGCTGTGATTTTCACAGCTATTTTATTGTTTATAAGCTCGTGAAATTGTCTTACGATAATATACGGTAGATATATTATCAAAAACATTATTATTATAATAATGCTTGTTTTTATTGGTTTGCATGCAATCAATTTTTTATTTTGTATACTTTGAACCGATGGCCATACTGTCTCTGGTAGTTTTCTTTGTTGTGGAATACTTATTATATTTTGAACGGAAGGCCAGGTCATCTCTCGCTGTTTGCTTTGTTGTGCATTATATATAATTTGACCGTAACAATAACAACTTACGAGACACGGCATAATAAACGAAATTGATTGTGTTGTTATATCAAATGAACGACTTTTTCCCCATTCTACACCACAGAATTGTTCATCTTCAATAAATTTGTAGCAACTCCAGCCAAAAACAGGTAACAACGAAAAAATAACTGAAATCAGCCAAGTAACTCCGATAAATAGGTATACCTTGGCGGATGTAGCCAAACTTTTGTATAAAATTGCTTTTGAGATAAACTGATACCTATCATATGATATAAACATAAAAGTTAATGAGTTTGAATTCCACCAAAGTTGTGAAAAAAACCCGAATATATCGCACCCTCTTCCATCCATTGTTTTTATTGAACCAGTAATATTTGCTAAACGAACAGGTAGTACTAAAACACATAAAATGCAGTTTGAGGAAGTCAAGCTGGCTAGAAGCATATTCGAAGGCGATCGGAGATTAGGTTTCACAACTAAAAGCAATATTGTTGATCCATTTAGGAGTAGACCTGCTATGACAAGAGTACTGGTGACAATCCCGCTGTATTCTTTCATAATTAATATAGTAAATTTGAGATTTTAAAGTACATTTGTTTTTAATGTAAAATTTGCATTTTTGGTATTCTAATAGTTCTCACTCTTAAAAAATTAAGTTTAACCTTTTAATTCTAATAGTTCTCACTCTTAATAAAATTAAGTTTAACCTTTTAAAACCTCTGTTTTAATTCTCTGTACTTGATCATATACCTAATCAATCTTTCATACGAAAAACTTTTTAAAATATGCGTCTAAATTTAAAAATGAAATTGAGATTTCTATTTAATTCTTAATAAAACAATTTAACCCAAAATATTATTAGTAATGACATTTTGTTCTCCGTTGTTTTTTTAAAGGAATATGTGTTAAAAAGTCGAATATATTTCAGGTGATGGAGTACTATACTGTTGGGTGTCATTGTGTCAATATTTATTTTAGATTTTATTTATTTTAACAGCTATTTTATTATGACGCAGTAAATAATATATTTTAACTATTGTATTTTTTTAATGATGAAAAACAAACTTTTTATTTGTTGTATTTTTACTGTTGCTTTTAGAGCTTAGAGGATTATTGTTTCCGATTTGCATTGAACCACCTTACTGCTGTTACTCAAACGGAAGCTTTCAGAAATCTCGACGGTGAGACAGTAAAGGCGTTCATAATAAAAGCAGGTATAAGTGGAGCATTCAAAAGGTAAAATATCGGAATAAAGTTAGTAATATATAGATATAGTTACATATTTCTGGCCGAAGTAAAGTTTTATAGCCACCTGGCAAGCGTGTGGTTTTGCACCAAAAAACTTGAGCAGCTGGGCTTTCTCTATCGTAAATAATGTTAATAATGTATATTTATTCACAGATATTTATATTTTGTTTATAAGTTTAATCAGAAACATTTTCATTTTTTTTGTTGTTGTTGATATTTTTATTATAAAAATGTTGTAATAGTAAACTAAATAATGTTATGTTTATTTATCTTTTATAAATATGAAAATTGTTATATTGAAGACAAATTATATTAGAATTTTTGAATTAACTAAAAGAAATTATTTTTATTATTTTAACGTTTTTTTTTAAAATACATGAATAAAATAGTACAAAGTTTTTTCCGAGTAAAACAAGTGCACAAGTATAATTTAAAAATAACGTGTACTCGATAATTAACATTATCAGCAACTTGAGTAAATTTCTTATATATATATATATATCTTATATATATATATATATATATCTTATATATATATATATATATCTTATATATATATATATATATATATATATATATATATATATATATATATATATATATAATATATATATATATATATATATATATATATATATATATATATATATATATATATATATATATATGTATGTATATATATATATATATGTATATATATGTATATATATATCTTATATATATATATATATATATGTATATATATGTATATATATATATCTTATATATATATATATGTCTTATATATATATATATATATATATATATATATATATAGAGAGAGAGAGAGAGAGAGAGAGAGAGAGAGAGAGAGAGTCACTAAACAAAATTAAAGTTAAAAGTTTGCAATAATATTTTCAGAGGGTTTATGATAATTCCAGTATTTTTAAAACTGGTTCTTTATTTAAAAGAGTAGTCAGAAGTAGTAGTCTGTATTTCTATTGGTAAAAAGTGTTTTTATCTTGCAGCCCATTATATAATAGTTCGGTTTCTTAACGAGTTTAATACCTCGATATGAATTTAAGTGCCACTTTTGTATCAGAATAAATAAAAGATTTACGGTCCGATAGAGATAGTTGAATATCTCGGCAGAAAGCTCATTTAGTAAAAAATCACAATTTGGGCATGAATAAGTTATATCGTAACTCATCTTAGCAGCTGGATTATCAAGTAACAGCAAAAACTTAGCTCTTAAAATATTCAACTTTTTAATCGCCTATTGTACTGTTATAAAATACGTATCTTCTGAACCTTGGCACAGTTTTTTTCAAATGGAAAAAAACTCACTAAAGAATGACATTGATGTGAGTCATCTAATAATGATCTAAATATTTCAACAACACCATTTCATGTGTGGTAAGTAATAAATGTGTAAATAATATACAACTGTTCAGTGTCATAAATAGCTTGCGACAAGTATCATAAGTAACTTGTAAGAAGTGTTACAAGCCGTTCCTTTCTTTTACCATGCTTTCCAGACATTTTTTAACCTCATTGTTGGAATCTCTGATTACTGCTTAAAGTTCATCATTGAACCTAATATCTGCACCTTTTTCCAAGACATTGAGAACCTTCCATTCTGGAACAATAATGGCAATGAAATCTGCGTCTTGTCTTTCTTTTATAATCATGACAAGTTTTATCACAAAATATCCTTAAACAGGTAGAAACTGACAGCCTCTCAATTGGTCTTGAAAATACTGAAACTTTATTTGAATTTGGATAACTTCGCTAATATTTTGGATTTTGGTTTATAAAGGTTTTTAAGACAATCCTATTGCGCTTCTTTACGTACACATCATAAAAAAATAAGTTGACCAGCTTTTTTAATAACCCATCTATTTCTGTTTTAAAGTAAATGGACAAGTTCAAAGATGCCATCAATATTAGTCAAACAGGTTTTATCTGGAAATTATCTTTTAAATATTTTGAAGAATCTTTTATTATTTTGATCTCATATTGGCTTGATCTTAAGACTCTTTTTTTGATTTCCAATTTAAAAAGAAAAAGTTTAATTTACTTATAGGTTAAATCAACAATGGTTCACTAATTAAGAAAGTAACCATTAGATCCACCACAGTTTTTGCAAGAGAAGTTGAGTCGTCAACTGCTTTTCTGAATAATGTATCACCATGGTGTAACAACATTTTAAAACATAAACCTCATTATGCAATACCTTCAAAGTTTCTGTTTTTCTTTAGTACATTGAAAAATATTTGTACAAAATATGGTTTAATTTAAAAGCTTTTCAAGTTATACTTGTTAAAGTTCACTAGGAAGCAATCCATAATCTATACGCAATTGATTAAACAAACTTCAGAATGTTTTGAAAAGATCTAATAATAACCTCTTTTGGATAAATCTTACTACCAACACACTGTGTACCCGTAGAAGCCTAATGTTCCTGAATTGCAATTTCTTTTTTTCTGAATCAATTTTTTCAAGTAACGTAAAACTTCTAATATAGACCGTGTGTTGATTTTTGTAACTTTTTACATAAGATAAGCAAAATATAGTTCCTTTACAAAAAATTATACTTTATCAAATACTGCAAAAATATATGTTACAAATAAAAATTTAGGAAGCATTAGTTGAGAATATTATGAAATATGATAAAATAGATTATGTTGTTATAGGGAACTCGTAGAAGACTGAATAAGTCTTATCATTGAGAACTTTTGGGGTAATATGCAAAATACTTATAAACATTGTGATTCTATGCACAAATATTTTAAATGTTATTGTGATCAGTGACGGATCAAGCATTTTTTGGTATTTGAGCTAACTTCCAGACATGGAGCAAACTCCAAACATTTTTATGTTTATACTTATGTCAAATAAAGTTTATATGTTTATACTTAATATGTTTATACTTATGTCAAATAAAGTAATATATAATATAAATAATATGTTTATACTTATCACAAATATGTTTATATTTATGTCAAATAAAGATACTTTGCAAAAAAATTGCAATGATTGGTGGCTGGGAACAAAAAAGCCTTTAAGCTTCACCCCCAAAACCCCACCCATCCACAAACGCTGATTGTGATAAAAAAAAATTATTTTTTTAACTATATTATGATTTATGTAAGTGTATTTTTTTTTTGTTCTTTTTTTAATTTTTTTATAAATTTGCTGTTGTAAATATTATTAATGTTAAATGTTATTAATTATATAGCTTACTAATGGAACATCATAACTCTTTCATGACTTTAAAAAACTTTTTTCATTTCAGCAAAAATTACTTTTTCTAAAAATGCTAATAGTTCATCTCTAGCAAAATTTCAAAAACACAAAACAGCACAATTTGTTAAACTTATTGAAGGAAGTTTAGTGTGAATTTGAAAAGGTAGTATACCTGGCCAAACAGATAGTGCAATTTTAGGACGATATTTTTCTTTTTGTTATTCAAAGTTTATCAACCAATTTAACTCGCAAACTACAATATTATTGGTTATATTTAGGATAGCATTTTTTTTTTAAATTTTATTTCAGACGGTCCAAAGAAGTCCTTACGGTCTTATCCAATGGCACCGCAGAAGACCATTTGAAAGGAAGTTCACGCCTCCTTCCTTACAGGTATTATAAAACTTGCCCAGAGGTGGCGTCAAACCACGTATCTCTAGCTTCTGAGGCAAGCGCGCAAACCACTGCGCTAAATTTGCTCATTTAAAATTATTTTAATTCACATTTGTCTTTCTTTTACATTTTCTTAAAAGGTATAAGAAAATAAAAATTATTTGTGCATCTTGATTTTAGAAGGGGCCCAGGACCTTTAGATATAGCAGAAGCCTAATGTGGGGGGAATTAAAAAAAAATTTGTTTAGTAATAATTAAAAATGAAAAAAAGACTTGTAACGACGACTCCTTTAGAAAATGAGTGTACGCATTTTTGCATTTGCACCCAGATAAGAATAAAAGCTTTATTGTAAATCATTTTCGAATGGAGAACATACCAATATCTACAGTTTTAATATACTTTAAAGAAAGGAGAATAATATAGGACCAGAAAGAAAAGTTGGAAGTGGTAGCAAAGCAAAAAAGATGTCTGCAAAGAGATAAAGCGTCTTAAAAAATCGATTGATCAAATCGATATTATTTCACAGCGTGGTCTTGCAAGATGAAATCATGTATCACAACCGTACATATGCAAAATTATTCACATAAAAACTAGTATGCATTATCTTAAAAAAACTAAAACACCTAAAAGAGCACCGACTTATTTCCGGAAATGCTGGATTCTATTCTTCTGACATAAATACAGAATCAAATGATGTAAAAGGAAAAGACAAAGATAAAATTACTTGTTTGGGTTGCATTTTCGAAGAAAGGAATCTCTCAACATTACATTGGTCCGTCAGGCCAAGCAGTCAATGAAGATGTGTTTATTTCAAAATGTCTTGTTAGATTAGAGAAATTTATTGAAAAACATCATAAAAATGACAATATTGTCTTTTGGCCTGATCTAGCTTCGTCACATTATTCACCTAAAGTGCAAGGTTATCTAAAAGCTAAAAATATTGAATTTGTATCGAAAAAGCATAACCATGCTAATGTGCCAGAATTACGTCCAATGGGAGATTTTTGATCTGAAATTAAGAAATTAGTGTATATTAAAAATTGGCAAGCTGAAAATCTTGGTAAACTTAAAAAGCAGATCTAGTTTTCAATTAAGAAAATCAACATAGAACGTGTACATCGGCTAGCTGCCGCAATATTTACAAGAATAGACACTGTTCATCGTCATAGCATAAAACTTTAAAAATTTTTATATTTTATTAATTAGACATTTTTTATTATACTTTTTAAATTATTAAAATTGATCATTCCGTTAAAAAGTTATAAAAACTTCTTATTTTAAACCGATTTTTATTTATCACATGTTAGTCATAAACTATAATTATCTATCTAACAATTTTGAACAATTGTAAATAAGAAAAAAAAAAATTTCGTCTTTATTAAACTACAAGAATTATTTTAATTAAAAATTAATTTTAAACATGAAGTTGTTTAATTACTATAATTATTTAAAAAAGAATTTTATATTCTTTTAATATTTTTGTAGTTGCTATGTAAATCTATGTTGTTACTATGTAAATCTGTTCAAAACTTTTACGAATCGTTTTTTGAAACAAGAGCAATACCTGTGATAAATAGACCAACCATAGTAACAACCATAGTAACAACCATAGTAACAAAAGCCTCAACGTTTTTGATTGATGATACTATTACGACAGGTATATTCAAAAACAATATTCAATTGAACTTTGTTATTGAATATAACTGTTATAATAATATCGGCAATCTAAAAGTTTGCACTATTTATCCTTGCAAACAAATATCCTGCCT